GACTGATGTCGAGATTCCAGTGTGAAAACGCTAGGAAGAAGAAGTGAACATGAAAAATATCTTAATGAAATTTATTCAACACTTTTGATTCCATGAAACTGCTCATTTCAAATTGTTTGATGACGTGTATTCACATGTCAATTCAAATTCACTACTTTCTTAATACCACTCTTCTCAAGACTTATGACACTTTTGGAGTCCAACGATAAGTCATGACCAATCGAATAGGTTCTAACAATCGATTCACAATATAAGCCAACACAAAGTTCGCATACTTTTGAGAGGTTTCCAACTTTTCTGAGTCTCCAATGAAGGAACGAAAACCATTCTCACTCAGAAATTCCAACACTTGTCGAGTGGGTAAAATGTTTTGATGTAAAATAACAAACAAGAAACCCAAGGTGGAAAAGTACATGAAAAAGTAGAGAAATAAACCCATGAAACCGTACGTCTTGATGAAACGTTTGATTTTGCCCAGAAGAGAGAATTTTTCTGTGTTTTCATCAATTGTGGTTGCTGTGGTTGCAGTTGTTGTGGGTTTGTTTGAATGATGAGCTTTTGCGGAATTGATGGATGAAGGTTCTAAAGTAGAATGGGGAGTTTCATGACTAGCAGTAGTAGAAGGAGATGAGAAGGTGTGAGAAGAGAAGTTATTATTGTTATTATGATTGTAGAATACAGAGAGAGAATGGAAGTCAAGTCGTTGAGAGGTCAATGAGTCTTGTCTTGACTTTATCAAAGAGTGGCCACAATATCTACTCATGATCTTCCTATGGGTGGAGTGGTGCTGGAAAATGATCTTCTTCATCATTCAGAAAGAAATGACTCGAGTGTGAGAGTATTTTCTTTGTGTGCGAATGAGAATCATGGGTTTCTGTAACTGGAAACAGATCAATGGAACACAAGTTTCTTTCAAAACGTGAAATGGAACAAGCTGATCTTCTGATCAAAAAAGAAGGGAGCAAGTGGTTATCATCTATCCATTCATTCACATCGTTTTCTTGTTTGTGTGTCTCTTAACATCTCAGCAAATCATATTTGGCATGCACACCGTAATAACGTGATTTCTTTCTGTTGTCAATAAGGACATGCATCACACAAAACATTTTATTGATATGGAGAGAGTTTCATCATTGAAAGCATCATTTGAATGTGGTGGTGATCATGGAGATCCACATTCAATCGATTCATCATGAACTCTCTCATCATGAATTATTATTAGACTCATTCTAAACCATCTCGCAAAATTGAATTCAAAGATCATTCTGTATGGAATGAAACAACAACACACCAAAAAAAGAAATTAAAAGGTTGGAATAGAGAAGCTTAAGGCTAGCATGAAGGGGATTAATAATAGGGAAAATACTCCTTTTTTCAATGAGAGAGAGAAAGAGAACATTCTCTTCTCCTCCAAATTAACAAATCATTGCATATCCACATCCAAACCCAGCTCCATATCCAGCACCATATCCATGTCCTCCCCAGAATGGAACAGCACCATATCCACCCCAGAATGGAGCACCATATCCACCATAGAATGGAGCATAATAAGCATTGTACATGTTATTTCCATAAGCAGTTGGTCCCACTGCATAATTTCCATAGACAGCGTATGGAGTATAATTCACAGCATTGACCTGATTGCTATAGGCCTGAGTATTCTGAGCGTATTGATTGTAATTACCACCAGATACTCCATAATTGGAACCTAAACCTCCATTGTAGCCATAGGCACCAACCACATTGGAAGCTCCACCACCTCCAAATCCACCACCAACGAATGGAACACCAGCACCGTAGAATCCACCACCAACGAATGGAGCACCAGCCCAAGCAGTTCCTTTGACTTCTTTCTTGGAATCGTCCCCTGCCATGACAAAGGTGGCAAAGATTAAGGAGAGTAATGCAAAGACGAGAATGAATTTGTTCATTTTTGGTAATTGTGGTTGTTGTGATGTGTGCTGTGGACGAAATTATTGCTTGAAACTTTTTTTGTTTTGGGAATGATGATCAATTCCCCACATGTTGTTGGTTTTATTTGAATTTTGAGGTATCTTGTTGGAAAGAAGTATTTCCTTTCATCGACAATGACTTTTTTGAATAAAAGATAAGCATGTGGAAGCAAATGAATTTTTTTGGAAGATGGTTTGTTTGAACGAAAAGCCTTCATTGGAGTTCCAACAAATTTAAAGCAATACCTTGTTTGATGAAAATTTATTCGGTTTGAATTCAATCGGACACAAGGGAGGATGTCAAGTTAGTTGTGCTACGTACGGGTGATGAATGGCAAACTGGGATCTGGGATCAAGTGAGATCGCCAGCCATCAATCTCTATAAGCATGTTATCTGATACCAAGCTCAAAAAGGAAGACAAATTCTTGTTTGAAATTATTTAATAACACTAATAATAATTTATTGTTTGAAATAACATTTCATAGGAATCAAAGAGGGAGTTCTTAGATCGAGGTGCTTAGATAATATTTTGGTGTGAGGGCAACATAAGTGTTTCACTCTTGTTTGATGAAAAGTACATGTAAATGTTGTTGCTGTTTGGACAGTATTGCTCTGAAATGCATTGCTGTTGGCTGCCCTTCTTGATTTTACAAAAAATCCAAACATCAATCCGAATGCAGAATTATGAGAATATTACTTCTTTTCTTGTTTTTGTTTTTGTTTCTGCAATTGATCTTGTGCCTTCTTGACCCAAACTAAGCGTTGTTTGTGAGCCTCAGTTTGTGTGGGTCGCTTGAATGCTCTAACCTCTTCCGACGAAGCACCATTTTGTAGGGAACTTTGTGTAAAACCAGGTATTTTGACATTCCAATTCTTTTCGAGATGGAGTTGTAAATCTTTCACTTCCAATGTATCAGAGCCCCGATGTTTTGCCAGAGAGCAAGCAAATGTTGTTACCGATTCAATAAAGTCATCAGCAATTTCCAGGAGTATCTGAGAGGACGGAAAAAACAACGACGATGGTGCAACAAGTTTGTTTGAGAGAGATAATGCAACAATGTACAAATTGTTTTTGGTCGAAATGATGATGATGAAATATGGATGAGATTGGAGGATTGGAGAGTGGTGATTAATACGGTTCCGTGATGATGATCATCATGTGTGAGTAGGAATAAAATTAGTAAAAAATTATCATGATGAGAATTTGAATCTTCCCTCCTACCTACCTCTTCAACTTCGGGATCCAATGAATGTCTTGGATCAATTTGTTGCGTAATCTCTTGCAATTTACTCTTCTTCAACACAGTTCGATCATTGCTGTTGATATTCATTTTTTTTATCCTCTCAAACGTTTCTTTGGGATTATCAAAACAACACCTTCAGGCC